GGGAGTGGCTCCCAGAGATAGACTTTCCCCTGACTGCACGGGATGGGCGTGGCTCCCAGAGTTAGACTTCCCTCTGACTCCACGGGATGGGAGTGGCTCCCAGAGATAGACTTTCCCCTGACTCCACGGGATGGGAGTGGCTACCAGAGATAGACTTTCCCCTGACTCCACGGGATGGGAGTGGCTCCCAGAGATAGACTTTCCCCTGAATCCAAGGGATGGGAGTGGCTCCCAGAGATAGACTTTCCCCTCACTCCACGGGATGGGAGTGGCTCCCAGAGATAGACTTTCCCCTGACTCCACAGGATGGGAGTAGCTAGGAGAGATAGACTTACCCCTGACTCCAGGGTATGGGAGTGGCTACCAGAGTTAGACTTCCCTCTGACTCCAGGGGATGGGAGTGGCTCCCAGTGATAGACTTTCCCCTGACTCCACGTGATGGGAGTGGCTCCCAGAGACAGACTTTCCTCTGATCCCCACGGGATGGGAGTGGCTAACCAAAGCACGTGGCTCTTCCTCACCACCCCGAGATGGGTGGCTATCTTAAACCTGAAAGTATTTCTTTCTTTTGACTCACTGAGACTCCTCCCAGCCCGTGCTGGGCAGAACCAAGCCCGTGCCTTTCACGTGTTTTTTCCACATATGGGAAATGTTTTAAGCAGTATCACAGGCATTTAAGAATAAGTAGAGAGCTAGGCAGTGGTGTTCCAAGGCTTTAATCCCAGCACTCAGGAGGCAGGGGCAGGAAGATCTCTGTGAGTTCTATGCAAGCTTGGTCTAAAAGAGCTAGTTCCAGGACAGCCTCCAAAGCTACGGAGAAACCCTGTCTCTAAGTAAGTAAGACAGACCAAAAATAAATAAATAAATAAATAAAAGAAAAAGTACATAGGTCGCAGGAGTAAGTTCTTCATTCCACTGAACATTAACGGCCCATTTTGCTGGTGATCAAGTCTGATCTACTTCCTTTGTTTGTGTACTCTGCCACGGGGCACTTTAGAGCCCAGGGCCAGGACAGGTCACACTGGATGTAAATTCAGTTCAAGGTTCTTGCCTTACGATTTAGAAGTCAAAGGCTAGCTCTAATTATGACCCAGGAAGCCACCATTTTCAGACTCAGAGTTACCTTCTAAGTGCGGGGGTCCCCGTTTCCTCCCAGAAACGTACAAAGCTACAAGATGCCTCAGATTTTTCCAGGGCAAGCATGGGTGAGAGCTAGCCCAGCTCCTGGGATTATTCCAGACATATTCCCCCTTGGTAAATATTCAGGGGCCTTACCTTGACTGCAGACCTCTCTCAGAACTCGCCAGCAGCAAGGCCCGAGCAGCAGAGGCGGTTTCTGTGCCAGGGGCACTAAGACCCAGTTCCTCCCCCTCACAGGAAGAGAGGGTAAACCATATCCGGTCAGGGGCGGGCTCTGAAGAGTGACAGCAGAGACGGGTTACTATGGAACCGGTCTGCTGTGGAGGAAATTTAGAGGATAATCTGGTTTCCTTACTGTACTTCCCAATGATACTAATTTTTCCCACTGCCTCATCTTGCTTGGGCTATTTCGTGCAGAGCTTGAAACCAGAGCCTCTGAAGCCCCCACTTAACTCAAGCCTCATTCACCTCGCCATGCTTCCATCTCTGCCATACATTACCTTAACCTGCCTCCCCTTCCCCCCGATTTTGCATGTCCTGCCCCAGGTTACATGAAAGTCTTCTTCTATTTATAGCTTGATTCCCAGCTTTTACATACACTCTTCTGCTTTCCAGGAATTCCACAACACTCCCACCCCAGCGCAGGGGTGGAGTAGTGAAGGGCACAACTTCTGTCTAGTAGGTCTCAACTAGGTAGAGTGAAGCTCCAGCGCCTGCCCCGTATGCACCAAAGTCTGCCAGCTACACACATAACCCTTCCTTGCCTCAGTCCTTTAAGTGGAAGTCTAGGTTTACTACACAGGTTGACAGCTTTGTCCTGGACCTCAGAGTGCTGTGTCCCACTCTTTTCCAGAGCCAAGTAATGACTCAGGTTCAGGTCCAGGCTCTGTAGGAAGCCACACCTTTGTGAGTCTCAGAGGAGGTGATCTGGGCACACTTTCTCACATTGTCGATATCAAGGCTTGAGTTCCTTGGGCCTGACAGCAGGGTCAGGGTTCTGAGCCCACACTTTCTCTTAGGAGAAAGTTCCTTTCAATCCACAGAGGCTCTCTCAGATTGACCTTAGCTTTGAACAGGAACTCTACCTTGTAGACCTGGGGCCCTGTCCCTTAAAGCCTATTAGGGTGCTTGCAGTGACCCTGAAGGCAGAGAAGAGATGCACCCAAAACACTGCCTTCTGGCTCAATCGCATGACTTCTGGGGTTCCTGGCATCTTCTCTTTTACTGATTTTGGATCACTTGCATCAATTCACTCCCCTCAGTACCCAAAGTGGAAGTGTCATCATGCCCTACTTAGGATCTATTTACCATCCCTCAACTTTCCACCCAGAAGCATGGCTGAGAGTTTTGAGGTAGTACTCTTTGTGTAAATGGTTTTCCTGCCTCTTCTCACCTTTGTACGGGTTAAGGCCAGCTTTCCTGACTCTTAAAGGTCATGGACTTTCACTCTGGACATCCTTGAGGAGTAAAATGAGGCTTAGTTCATCCTCACAGCTCTGTCAAGCCTAAAAACAGCTGTCAGCTCATAATGTCTTTTGTTTTTAATAGAAATATTCACATATATAATTCTATTAACCATATGTTTAGGTCCAGTCCCATGTTTGTGATTCAATGATCACTTTCAATCTCAATAATCCTAAATCGCCCCTTTCCCTCCCTTGTGTGGTATTTACTCACTCTGCTTGTGTTCTTTGGAGAAATCTCCTAGCTAGACATTCTTGTTGGCTACATTAGTTTTGGGGCAATTGGAATTCAAAAAAACAGCATCAGAGTAAGAATTTTAGGGAATAAACATACTTTCCCTTCAAATCCCAGTTATGATCACCATGTGACTATTAAATCTAAGAATAGCTTTTCTTTTCCTTCTCTGTATTTCTGTCCCTCTCTTCTCCCCAATGCAGAATGTATAATGCCCAATGTAGGTTCAAGAGAAGCTATATGGCATATCTCTCTTCTCTGAGGACTTCTAGGTATGATATTAAGTTTGGGCAGATCTTTGAAATTTGTCTTGTTGAGTATATATTTTCAGTAATAATTCATGCAAGGACAACATTTTTCTCCTATGTCTTTAAAATGTTGGGAAATGAGCAGCATAGCCTAGGGGTTCAAAATTAGGCAGTGGCCTACAAAGCACATTTTTATGTATAATGAAAACACCTGATAGACAGGATAGCTTATTTCTGATAAGCCAAGAGAATGGATAGTTTAGGTCAAACCTAAACTATTCAGCAATTTCAATGTCTGGTCATTTTGAGATCACCTGATCTAGATCAAACCCCTAAAGAAAAAAAAATAATACTAAATTAAATTAAAAAATACAGAATACAGAAACGGTTACAAATTCCTATGTATACCTTCATTTGTGTCAGCCTGCTTCATTAGAGTTGCTTCTTTTATTGTTGAAAATTTGGATGCCTCAGTAAGGTTTTCATAAGCCTTTTATCTTTGAAAATTAATTGACACCACATAATATACAATTCTGTCACCACCAAGCACATTCCATTTTCTTCTATTTCTATATCTTATACTTAGAGAGATAATTTGGATCATACTTTCAATCACTCACTGCATGCATGAAGAAGGAGAGATATGACGACTACCAAGACTACAGCTGTATCCTCTCTTGCATGGTATGCCCTGAGACAGCCTGCATTTCAGTGCAAAACCCCTTCTCTAAGATACAGGAAAAAAAATTCTTCACAATTACTTTGGTGATCTCATTTATCTCACTATATATTACTCCAAGTGATTTGAGATCAGAGGGTTTACTTCTTAAGATGATGTTACAATAATAGAAAGAAAGCTGAAGGGATGGAGAGATAGCTCAGCAATTAAGACACATTTTCTGCTTTTCAGAAGATCTGGGTTTAGTTCCCAGTAACCACATGCTGACATAACTTTAGAGGAATCTGAGGTTCTCTTCTGACCTCCAAGGGCACTGCATGCATGCAGGGCACTAAACATACATGCAGGCAAATTACTTATACACGTAAAAATAAAAAAAAAATAGAAAATATTGTTAAGGGAGTCAGATTGTTTATTCTGGATCCATTTTGAGTGTTCGTGGTCTGAGAATACAGATTTGGGTTACCTCAATTTCCATGTTCCAGTATGGGAGAGGTGTCCTAATTTATACAGTTTTAAAGAACAAAGAAAGTCACAAATCAAGGCATATTTAAAATGCATTGATGGGAACACCAGAAAAGCAGGGACAAATAGATGGGAGAAGCTTCCCTAGGGTCCCAAGATGCCATCTGCTGACATGTTTAACTTTGGCTTAGTGGAATCTGGTAGTCTGTTAATTAACATATTTGAAAAGGTTTCTATCAGTCACAAGATGTTAGTTCAGAAACAAACAGTTAGCTGCTCAGGAGAAATACACTCATCCACAACAAGCTATTTATTTAGCCTTTGCCCCTTCAACATTCCACAGTACTGAAATTTTAATCAGTTGATCAGTCTCCATAGGCAATTTCTTTTTGTGAAGTAATCTTCCCCAGTCAGACACAACTTCTTTTCAATTTTCATTCATGGTTCTTCCTATAACTCAAGCAACATGATTGGTGCATGTCACGGCCACATAAAGTTTATTAACTATTATAACATCTCATGTAGCAAAGAAGGATGTAATGTATATTAAGTTGAGAAGAGGACTGGACAGCTCTCTCCATGAGAGACCATTAGCTTATGTAGGCCATTAAGACAGAAAGTCTTGGATAATATCAGATGTTAGCCATTATGTAACAGATTTGAATTATTTTTACATCCTCTATCTGACAGAACATTTTCATGTAACATAAAATCACTTCAGTTAAGATTAAGTAATGAAGACACAGTATGGCCTAACAGAGTAAAAGTTAACAGACGAATACAACATCTAAAATAACCAAGTGTTAGCTTTCAGTTTTCATTCAGCTAAGGTGTCAATATCTTGCTTAGACATTTGAAACAGACCTTTCTCTTTGTCCACAATCATTTGCCATAGTTATGGGAACTGCTGTAATGTTCCCGACATGCACACCTGGTATCATACTCTTCCCCGCTTCCCTCAACCACTGCTGTATTTCCTCTCTTCCGTTTCTGTTTATCCTGTTCAATCTCCCATTATCCTCTTACTTCTCCCTAAGAATACTTTAGAGTATTGGCAGGAGGCTTTAACTCTTCCATGTTATTTATTTATATGTAATAATGTCTGCTTTTACTTTCTTTGCAACTTTACCTAGGGTTTAACAAATGCTAAGCAAATACTATACACCAGCTGTGCTCTCTGGCTATCCTTCCATTTGTGACTTTTTCTTTTTTCTTTCTTTTTTTTTTGAAGACAGGGTTTCTCTGTGTAATAGCCCTAGTAGTCTTGGAACCTGGAACATGCTTTGGAAAACCAGGTTGGCTTCGACCTCACAGTGATCCGTCTGCCTCTGCCTCCCAAATACTGGAATTTGTGCCATCACTGCTGGGCTCCATTTCTGTTTCGTAAAAGTAGTTTGGGAGAATGTAAGAGTGAGGTGCATCTCTGTGAGTTCGAGGTCAGCCTGCTCTACAAGAGCTAGTTCCAGGACAGCTAGAACTGCTAACCAGAAAAACCTTGTCTCGCAAATACCAAAAAACAAAACAAAACAAAAAAAAGAGCTTCCAGATAGCTGGGTGGTGACTGCCCACCCTTTAGTCCCTCCCAGCTGTCTGAGGCAGAGGCACGTGAATCTCTGTATATTCCAGTCCTGCGTGGACAACAGAGTGAGTTCCAGGAAAGGTTTCAAAGCTAAAGAGAAAACCTATCTCAAAACAAAACAAATCTTCTAGGTATCTCTGATACAGTGTTCCTTATGAGTGCCATACACTAGGCATGACTGCACAGGTTAGGATTCCTCTGACTCCCAGGGGATGTTCTTGCTCACCCAAGTTAGACTTCCCCCTGATTACTACAGGATTGGTGTGCCTAGCCTGGTTAGAAGGTCCTCTGACTTCCACCGGAAGGGAGTGGCTTCCAGAGATAGGATTTCTTCTGACTCCCACAGGATGGGCGTAGCTACTACAGATAGGCTGTCTCCTGATACCCAGGGGATGGGAGTGGCTACCAAAATTAGGTTATCCTCTGACACCACAGGATGGGCATGGCTACTAGAGTTAGGCTTTTCTCTGAATCACAGGGTATAGAGAAGCTACTAGGTTTAGGCTTTCCTCTGACTCCACGGGATGGGAGAGCCTACCAGAGTTA